TAAAGCCATTGTGCAGCCGCATGCTGTGTTTGTGCCTGCTGATCACTTCAAGTATCGTATTGCGCATGTTCCCCGATCCCTTGATCCTGCTGTTCTGGTTGCCACTGACCTCTGACTCGTTCAAGCCCTACTTGGTTTCGTCTTTCAAGGGAGTTGTGACCATAGCTGCGCCCTGTCCACCTGCGGACATTGTGTTTACAAGTGCTGAGCTTGGTTGTACTCTGTTACTTCAGCATCTTCCTGGTCCTGCCAGTGGTGGTCCTCCTCTTGTCCCGTCCCGCCATGTTGAAGATGCGAGCCCAAAGCGAAAGAGTCGGCGAGCTGACTCTGAAAATGCTTCTGTTGGTCCTGACAATGGCCATGGTGCTGACACTCGGGGTGGAGCTAAGGGAGGGGTTCTTTCTACTAATCCGTTTGGTCCTTTGGATGATGCCTATCAAGTTGCTTTTCCGCCTTTGCCCAACGCTGGTGTTGCTCGGGAGCTCGCTTCGACCGAACCTGAGTTTGAGCTTGGAACCCTGCCTAATCTCGGGAACACATGTTTTGCGGCTGTGGCTGTCCGTTGTTTGGCTCACATTGTCAAAAAGTCGGATTTGCGCTCGTCTGTCCTTCAAGATGTTTCCTTGAGGCGTTTGTTGGATGACTTGTCGCCGGCCCAGTGGACGCGCTTCATCAAACATCATCACCTCGAGCATGGTCAGCAGCAAGATGCTGCTTTGTGGTTGCAGAAGTGGTTGGACTCTGAGTCGGTTTTGTGTTCGCATCTTTCTGTCACTGAACATGTTGCTCTTGAATGTGTTGGGTGCAGTGAGCCCAAGACAGCTGAATCAAGTTTTTCTCTTTGGCGCGTTCCCGCTCCCAGTGGCGGCTCTACTTCGTTGCAGAAGCTGCTTGATGATGATCAATGCTGTTCGGCCAACCCTGAGGTTGAAGTCTCGTGCTCATGTTGTTTTGCTGAACATGCGGAAGCTGTGTCTAAGCGTCTTTCTTTGAATGACTGGCTTCTCATTCAGACTCTGAGGGCTGATGTCAATGATAAGAAAAACACACGGCTATTTCACTCCCCGACACGGTTGTTGTTGCTGATGCGTCTTGGGATATGCACCTTGCCGTGTGTCACTTGGGTGAGTCTGCGTCTTCCGGGCATTATGTTTTGCTTGTTCGCTCAGGTCACGATTGGCTGTTGTATGACGATGGAACTTGTCGTGTTGCCTCTGCTGAAGACATCTTGGATATGCCTTCTTCCTGGTCGTTTGTGTTGTATCGTCGGCGTTGTGAAGGATCGTCGCCGCAGTCTCCTGCTGTTGTTGTTAACATCGCTGCCTTGCCTGCATCATGTGCTGATGCCGTTCCTTCGTCAAACCCTCCTGTTGCCCACCCCACGGTTGGTCCTTGCAGGGATGACCGTCCTGACATGCCGTCTGCTGACAAGCGTGCTGACAGTGTCAATGATTCCAGCGGCCCTCTCCATGCTGATTTGCGCAGCTTGCTTGCGGTTTTGTCTCAGCGGGTTGATGCGCTTGAGGTTGAAGTGCAATGTCTTCGGGGAGCTGGTTCCCTTCATGAGAAGCTTGTGTCCTTGGCTTGTCCGGGTTCTGGCCCGTCCGTGCCTGTGCGCTCAACTCCTGGCGATGCTTGTTCTCCCGGTGGTGATCGTCTAGGAGACACGGTTGCGAGCAACCCTGGCTGTGATGCGGATAAGCTTGTTGTTGCCTCTTGTCAGGGTCAGACCGGGATGCAGGCCCAATCCTTCCCCTGTGGCCCTCCTCCCCCGGTCGTTGTCGAACCTGTTCCTTCGGACGCTTTACCAAAACGGAAAAAGCCAGTCGAAAAACAAAGCAGCAATCTGTCATCAATTCCTGTGGGCTCTTTTCCCCGTTCCACCAATCCGGCAATTGTGGCTGAAATCCTTCGCTTGCAAACTGCTGGCTTTGCTGAAGTTGCTTGGATTTTTGAGCGCTTGCACGCTGACTCCATTTTGCTTCCTTTGGCCCAACAGGCGCAAGACGTTGGTGGTTGGAAAAATCTGGGTGAAGCTTTGACTTATAACAGTCGTGAAGCTCAAACTCAACTCCAGAATGATGGCATCCATAGCCCAAGCGTCCGCTGGCTTGTGTTTCGCATGCTCCAGCGTGGGAGGTATAATCGGTTTGCTTCTGTCCTGGCGGCTGGTCATTGGGACCTCTTGCGTCAGAGTTTGGCTGTGTGCGACGTTCCTGACTGGTGGTCGCCTCCTTGGTGTCGTCCTGTCCATCGTCCGCATGCTGCGCAAGCTCGTGGTCGTCGCCCGTTGCTTCCTCATGAATGGCATCGCGCCCAAAGTTCCAAACGCAGTCGCCCCCCTGTTCCTGCTGCTCCTTGTGTTGGTGGCCCTGTCCGTTCGCGCAGTCGTTCCCGTTTTTGCGATCAAACCTTGCCTGTGCCGGTTGCTCAACCTGCTGTTGTTGGAGCTCGTAAGGTCTCTGTGGCTGTTCCCACCTCTTCTGTGAAGAACAAGAAGAAGCGCAAGGCGAAAGGCCAAGCTGATGTCAAAGGGGGTGAAACTGAATCTGGTTCAACTCCTTCCTTGTTTCGGGTTGCTGCTATGAATGTGACTTCCCTTTTTCCCCGTGTTGCTGCGGTCTGTGCTCTTACGTTTGGTCTGGCGTGTGTCTCGGAGACTGCTCTCACCGGTACCGGGCAAGCCAGTGTTACTATGCGACTGCAGCAGTCAGGGCGTTGTGTAGTTTGGGGCGCTCCTGTGCATGGTCCTGGCGTTTCGTCGTCTCGAGGTGTTGCCTTGATTGGTGGTCCTGGCGTTCGTCTTTCGCCGCTTGATCTCCCGGATTGTCTGTTGGATTATTGGGCCGATGGTCGTATTGTTGCTGGCAAAGTGTCTCAGCAGTTTGGCAAAGCGGATATTACTTGTGTTGCGTGCTACGGTCACACACATGATGTTCAACGCCGAGAAGACATGCTGAGCCAGATTGTTGGTTGGGTGCTGTCGTTGCCCGGTCATGTCCTTGTCGCTGGGGATCTCAATTCCTCTCTTCAGGATTCACTTGCTTTACACCAGCTCGTGCGGCAGGGTTATCGAACGGCCAATCCTCAGGAAGTTGTGACATGCTGTGCTCATAACTCTCACACGGGTTCCGTTATCGACCATGTCCTTTTTTCTCCTTCATTGTTGCAGTCCTTTGTGTGTGGGGAGGTTCTCTCTGCTGCTCCCTTCCCCACCCACCGACCCGTTTGCGCTCATTTGATTTCAATCCTGCTAATGACTCTTGGAGTGTTTTGCAACCTCCTCGGTCTTTCCCTCTTTCCGAGTGTGTCTCCCGTTCTGTTAAGTCCCAGGATTGGTCTGCTGACTTTATTCATGTCTCTAATCTCCTTGAAGATGAACGCCCTGATGATGCGTATGCTCTATGGACCCAACTCGCTGAATGTGAACTTGCGCGGCAGTGCCGACTTGGTGGAAAAACTGTGTGCTCCTCCCATTTCGGTCGCGCTGTTGTTCCTGCTCTTAGGGTTTGTGATCCGCAGTCTCTTCGGCTCCAAGGTGATGTTGACTTTCGTCGACTTGAACGCGCTCGTGCTGGCTTAGCTGAACTGTGCTCCTGTTGGGATTCTTGTGTTGCTAACAATCACAGCCAAGCCATTTGGACCAATGCTCGTCGTCGCATCCTCCTTGTGTTTCGCTCCCATCCTCTCCCGAGCCAACTCCCTGGCAAGGTTGAAGTCCAAACTCAACTTGATTGGTTGCGGCGCACGATTGATCGGCGCAATAAACAAGGTCGCGATGAAGTTTTGTCGGCCTGGCGCACTCGCATGCAAATGTCGCAGGCTGAAAGATTCAAATGGGCTAAGGCCAAATACACCTCCTGGCAAAACATTCACGATACCGCTGCTTGCTTTCGAAAGGTTGAAGAGATCTGGCAACCGATCTTGGCTCGACGCCCGGATGCAGCCCCTTCTTGCCCATCAAACTTCACCGAAAATGGTTTTGCTGAGCCTGCCTTGTCTAGCTCTCTCAAAAGTACGTTGCACCAGCTTGATATGCTTCGCATGTCTGGTTCTGATCTTCGGTCTGCTGTTGACAAAATTGCGGCTCACTCCGCTTGTGGTGCTGATGGTTGGCGTCGGTGTGAGTTGCTTGCCTTGCCCGCCTGTTTTTGGGATCTCTTGGCTCAGGTTTTGTATGGCATGGCTGCTTCTGGCACTTGGCATCCTTGTTTGCGCACGGTTGTGACTACTTTGATTCCCAAGAAAGCTTCTGTTGACTTTCTGACTGATCCTGCTGGTTTGCGTTCTGTGGTTTACCGTGCTTGGTCTGGTGTCGTTGCGCAACGTCTGCATGCTGTTTTGGAGTGTTCTCTGCCATCGTGCTCTCATGGCTTTCGCACTGGTGAGTCTGCCCAAGCTGCTATGGCCTCCACGTATCTTCGTTGTCAAAATGCTTCCTTGTCTGGTTGTCATGTTTATTTGGTTTCCTATGACATGCACAAGTGTTTCGACTCGCTTCCTTGGCGCAAAGTGCGTGACAGCTTGGTTGAATGCGGCGTGCAACCTGCGTGTGCTAGTGCTCTTCACAGTCTGTGGTCTGGTCTTCGTCGTATTTGGAAACTCCAAGGTCGTTTCTCTGACGCGTCCTTCTCCAGTACTAACGGCCTGTTTCAAGGGGACCCTAGCGCTCCGGCGTGTTTGTCTGCGTTTCTCTGCTGTCCTATTCGTGAGTTGGCTCGTCGTTTTCCTGAGGTTTCTATCTCGCTTTATGCTGATGATGTCCTGTTGTCTTCGCCTCATCTGTCTCAGCTTCACGCTGCGCATGATTTCTTTGTTAGTTGGCTTCAGGACCAGCATGTCACCTTGAACATCGGTAAGTGCAAGTGGGCCAGTACTTGTCCAGGCAATGATGCCGTGAGCGCGGCTCATTTTCAAATTGGAGGCGTCAACTTGGGGCGTCTCACTATTTTGGAAATATTGGGTGGGCATTTTGATCTCGGCGCTCTCTGCGTTGGCTCTTCTGCTCACTGGACTGCGTTGTTGGACAAGTTCTTAACCATTGCCAAACGGTTCAAGTGTTTGTCAGTCGGGTATGAACCTCGATCTAGAGATATTGGGGCTTTGATGAATATGCTCACTTACTCTGCTATCGCTTGGGATCCTCTGAATGCGGTTGATGCTCGCACACAGCGCATCCTTGTCAATGTGCTCTCTGGTGGTCGTACCAATACCCGTAGGTGCTTAGAAGTTAGTCTTGCTCTTCTCAGTCCTATTCATCGGTCCTCTATTCCTCATGCGCTGCTTCATGAACAGGTTGCGTTGTTGTTTCGGCTGGCAAATACCGATTTGGAATATCAACAGCTTTTGCAGTCCCATTTCCATTTATGTTCTGAAATGACTTGTCCTCCTGCTGATTCCTTTTATGTTCGGCTACAACAGGCCCTTCAGGCTTTTGGGTGGAGGTGGGTTGCTTGGAATCAACTGGCGTCTCAAAGCGGACAAATGTTTCATCTAGTCTGCAAGACCATGGACTGTCGCCGCAGAGTTATGTGTCAATCCTTCGCCCAGGCCTCTGATATGGCTGATGTGATGAAAACTTTTGCAAGCACACGTTTGCTTCATAAGAGGGAACTGCATCAACATAGCCTTTCATGCTTGCATGCTTTGCGAGATGCCATGCGCCATGTGTGTTTTCAGACTGCTAGTCGGCGCAGACGTGACATGCGCAATTTGGAACATGTTGATCGGGCCCTGTTGCGTCGTGTTCTGGGTTCCGATGAGGTTGCATGCAGTATTCGTTGTATTATGCAAGGTGCCACTCTCACTGCTGATCGTCTGAACCGGTCTTCTCGCGGTACTGTGTCTGCTACTTGCCCGTTTTGTCGCCTTGGTGTTGAAACCGAGATTCATCGTTGGTGGCAATGTCCGTGTTGGGATTATGTCAGGTCTTCCTGCTTGGGTGAGCATGCCCCTGTGATTTGCGCCCAGCTTGCTGCAAGCGACTCTGTCGCATCAATTTGTGGCATCCCCACTCTGGGTTTGTCAGCTTTTCTACAGTCAAAGTGGGTAGACATTTGTGCTTGCATGGCGGCTGTTTTGGGGGCTGCCAATGAACATGATCAGTAATTTTTCGTTGGCTCTCAGTTTTGGCGTGCATCGGCACTGTGTCCGTTTTGTGGATGCTTTGTCCTTGGCTGTGCGCTTTCTTCTCGAATTTGATCCTTGTGATTCTTTTGTATAGCTTGTCTGGCTTGGATCTTTTGTTGAATCCGGGGCAGATTGCATTCATGCGCTTTTCCAGCATGATCTTTTGGCAACAATTTTGTGGGCCTGTGGCCCTTCACCTGGGGTGACAGATTCAAGTTCTTTTCTTGGGTCCGAGATCCCTCATCTGCATTTTGTAGGTGAAAATTGGATCAAGATGAGGCCGATGAGGCCGATGAGACCGATGAGGCCGATGGAGCCGCTGGAGCCGATGGAGCTGCTGGAGCCGATGAGGCCGATGAGGCCGATGAGGCCGATGAGGCCGATGGAGCCGATGAGGCCGATGAGGCCGATGAGGCCGATGAGGCCGATGAGGCCGATGGAGCCGATGAGGCCGATGAGGCCGATGGAGCCGATGAGGCCGATGAATGAGGCCGATGAGGCCGATGGAGCCGATGAGGCCGATGAGGCCGATGGAGCCGATGAGGCCGATGAGGCCGATGGAGCCGATGAGGCCGATGGAGCCGATGAGGCCGATGAGGCCGATGAGGCCGATGAGGCCGATGAGGCCGATGGAGCCGCTGGAGCCGATGGAGCCGCTGGAGCCGATGAGGCCGATGAGGCCGATGAGGCCGATGAGGCCGATGGAGCCGATGAAGCCGATGAGGCCGATGGAGCCGATGAGGCCGATGAGGCCGATGGAGCCGATGAGGCCGATGAGGCCGATGAGGCCGATGAGGCCGATGGAGCCGATGAGGCCGATGAGGCCGATGGAGCCGATGAGGCCGATGAGGCCGATGAGGCCGGTGGAGCCGATGAGGCCGATGAGGCCGATGAGGCCGATGAGGCTGATGGAGCCGATGAGGCCGATGAGGCCGATGGAGCCGATGAGGCCGATGAGGCCGATGGAGCCGATGAGGCCGATGAGGCCGATGAGGCCGATGAGGCCGATGAGGCCGATGGAGCCGATGAGGCCGATGAGGCCGATGGAGCCGATGAGGCCGATGAGGCCGATGAGGCCGATGAGGCCGATGAGGCCGATGAGGCCGATGAGCAGCCGATGGAGCCGCTGGAGCCGATGAGGCCGATGAGGCCGATGAGGCCGATGAGGCCGATGAGGCCGATGAGGCCGATGAGGCCGATGGAGCCGATGAGGCCGATGAGGCCGATGGAGCCGATGAGGCCGATGGAGCCGATGAGGCCGATGGAGCCGATGAGGCCGATGAATGAGGCCGATGAGGCCGATGAGATGCCGATGAGGCCGATGAGGCCGCCGATGAGGCCGATGCCGATGAGCCGATGAGGCCGATGAGGCCGATGAGGCCGATGAGGCCGATGAGGCCGATGAGGCCGATGAGGCCGATGAGGCCGATGGAGCCGCTGGAGCCGATGAGGCCGATGAAGCCGATGGAGCCGCTGGGGCCGCTGAGGCCGCTGAGGCCGATGGAGTCGCTGGAGCTGAGGCTGCTGGAGCCGCTGGCGCCAGTGCGACCGATGAGGCCGATGAGGCCGCTGGAGCCGATGAGGCCGATGAAGCTGATGAGGCCAGTGCGGCCGATGGGGCCGATGAGGCCGCTGGAGCTGATGAGGCCGATGAGGCTGATGAGGCCGGTGGAGCTGATGGAGCCGCTGGAGTCGATGGAGCCGATGAGGCCGATGAGGCCGATGGAGCCGATGAGGCCGATGGAGCCGCTGGAGCCGATGAGGCCAATGAGGCCGCTCAAGCCGCTGGAGCCGATCAGGAGTAAATGAATATAGATTATGTTACATGGTGTTGTTTTGTATTGGTTGCTGTTGTTGTTTTAAATGGAGTATAGTGAGGAGGGGGACCTTTTTAGTGCTATTTTCGATTTGCACAAGACCACCACTCTGCTGTCGACTTCATGCCGCCAAAGCAACCTTAAGCCTTTATAAATGCTTCTTGGCACAGAAGTGTCCGATTGAGAGGTTTCCCTACGCCTAGAAATATACCCTACACAATAAAGTCACAATTTGCATTGTTCTTTGAATCAAAAACCATATCTTATATCTATGTTTTTCATGGATTAATCTGTTTGTACATATCGAAAGACACGCTACCATGACCACGGCCGGATTTCCTGCAATCACGGTGGTGACGACTTATTCTGCACTAGCTATCTCTTTTGTGCTCCCACTTGCCCGTGCACTATTCGCAGGGCGCATATTTTTGGATCAAACAGATCAACCAACATGAGAAGGCAAAGGATGCATAAAACATTGTAATTAATCGAAGCGTGATAAGGGGAACGATGCATAAAACAATATATGATATTTCTCTCCACGAGTTGTAGAGAACACAGATCCGCTTCTCTACCATTGGCACAAAGCCGACTTAATTTACTGCCTTGAGACACCCGCAGCCTGCGCGGCGCATGCTGGGAGGCAAGGGACGCTTCTGGGTCATGTCTGCGCCCGTTTTTTTCAATGACCACAAAAATCAACACCACTGGTCCGCCTATCCAAGCCAGAAGCTGATGTAATGTTCCAGGTTAACGCTAGCCTTTCACTTTCACAGATATGATTTCTGCACATGTACAATTTTCTGTTTCACGCATGACAGCCGGACTTATCGCCACAGATGTGGCTTCGCAGGTGGCCACTGCGACGCCTCTTCTTCTCAAGGTCCATCCTTGGCACCGCTTCGATGCTGTGGCCGTGCCACACATGTTTTTCTTCATGAACGCCTCAGAACCCTGGATATTATCCTTGTCATGCGCTGGATCTCTCTCTCTCTCTATGTACATTGGTTTTTATTTATATATATATATATAGTTGAGATAGATAGATAGATAGATAGATAGATAGATAGATAGATAGATAGATAGATAGATAGATAGATAGATAGATATCATGTATATATGTAGAAATAGATATGGACATTTTAGGAAACGATCTTGCATCCAAAAAAGACCTTCTATTAAGGACCACAGCTCATGTGATTTGCATTTCCTGCAGCTGAGCTTCATGTCTTTACAGCATAAAGGATGTTACCTTACCTCAATACTTTTTCCTCTTTCTGAATGGAATCATGGGAAAAGTCATTGAAACCGCTTTCGGCATACGGCATACGCTTCCTTTCGAAATGATACATGTTCACATGTTCAGCAGCACAGCGCTGTGATTACATGGCATGCACAAAAAACAAGTTCCTTACTTCTTCGCTGTTTGCTATACGGTGACTTTCAAACATTTTGGAAGCATAGCTGGGCTTCACTTTGCGGTCGAACCATGTCAAACTTTCAGTCAAGTTAGGGCCACCACACGCTTTTTGCAAGGCCTCACCGAAGCGCTGTCCCAACTTGTTGCAGAGCACATGGCGCAAGCAGATGAAGGCGCGGATACAACCTTTCCGCATCAAGATGCCCTAACATAAAGAAATCGTATTTTTTTCTGCCACTCACCAGGCATTCCCGGAGAGGAAAGCGTGCGCGCACGGATCCGGAAGACATGGAAAATTAGATGATGAAGCATGGACAAGCGCGAGCACTCCTCGACATCAATCCGCCCGAAATGCCCGACTTCCAGCAAGCACCTCCCAGTCAATGTCATTTCCATGCTGCGTCGGTTCCGGCGGCAGTCTCACTGCATGGTCCTGATGAGCCATCTATTCTTCGGCATTGGAGCCCAGAATGGCTTCCACGACTGTTCGAAGATGCAAGCCATCTGAAAATCCAGAAAGATGTATGCCAACGCCCCGCCACAATGGCAGAAGAAACCATAGCATTCCGAGACCGAGTCGATCAATCCTTTGGTTGGAAAAGCAAAGTTCTGGACGATCAGCAGAAGTCTTATAGAGCAGCAGCTCAGGCCACGCTGCTGCCACTTGCATGCATGCGGATTCTATCGGGTGGTGTTGCGTGTATCAACGGCTTCCCACGCCCAACGAAAACCCATATTTGTGCCCCGTAAAAACATGTCCCTAACAATGGGCCCATGTACGTCACAGCGAAGTATCGGAGCAAAACCGAAGGACCCACATAAGTTTCATAAGCTGTGCTTTGGAGCTTCGGTGCTGGTGCTGCTGCAGGGTGCAGACTGCGCGTTTGGAGCCTGGGTGCTGGTGCCGCTGCAGGTGGCTGCTGCTGCATCGCGACTGCGCGCTTTGGATGCTGTGTGCTGGTGCCAATACTGCATGTGTCTGGCGATGATAAACGTCTTTGCCTATGCCGAAAAACAAGGTTTCGTTGCTATTTGAGGATATTTGAGGTCTATCCTAACCAAAACACATAAGTTGCAAGAACATGCAAGAACACAACCTGCTTGGAAATCCTCTGCGCAACTGCTAGGGCACCCCATTCTTAATGCGAGATTCAAACAAATTGGGCATGACGGGATGGGCGCAATGCATCCCTCTTGGACTGGCAGGGTAGGAAGCCAGTGTACCAGAGACAAGCAACGGCAGCTATGGAACAGTAACAGGTGAGGTTAAGCACCATCGCAACTGCAGCAGCAGGACCTTCTATGTAGATCTGTAAAGAGGAGCTCAAAAGATCTTCATACAAGAAATTCCTACGCGCATCCCAAGCCAATTCCAAAGCTTCGATAAACGACAGCCTACCGGTATCACCCACATTCCTTGTTTCGACAAGTCTGGCGATTGAGCCAGATTTACCCTCCCAAAGAAGCTTCTCTGTAGAGGCCCACCATAGTCAAAGTCACATTGGTTCATGGCATGACGCAATTCTCACAAACAACCCTTCTGCCTTCCGCCAAGGTTGTTGGACACAAGCCCGGACGATGGCAAGTCGGAGCTACTCCACTGCAAACTCTTCGCCTTGGTTGCTGGGGATCTCTACCGCAGTCATGGGGGCCAACTCTTCGAATACAACAATGGCGCATGGGCGCCGGCCTCTCGTGGCCTGACATCTGTGAACCTTGAATTCGTCCTCCAGGCCCTTCGTAGAGCTCAGGCGTATTATTCCATAATGGCCCAGATGAAGCCGAAGAGATGTTATGATGACATTGTCTTCGAGATCAAAGCCATCCAGCAAGTGGGTATGGAGGAGGTTCTCTTGCAATGGCAACTTCAGGATATCATTCAGAGGAAACCTGAAGTCAGAGCACGTGAGTGGCTCTGTGGCCTGTCTGAGCTTTGTCGGACGCTCCGGCACCAATTTGCGGAGCATTCAAGGACATCAAGACTCCCCAAATCATCCCCACGAAGAAGAAATAGAACATGTTCAACCACTCGCAATTTTTGTCCTACTCCCCCTCGTCTAGTTGAGCTTCCCATCCTGTAAGCTTGGCGCCAGGACCATCGTGAAATGCTTCCAACGTTGGGGCGATGAAGAAATACGGGTCAAACAGCAACCAGGGCTCTGCTTCCAGGATGCATTCATCTCGACTGTGGATGGCAACCCGAAACAAATGCAGAAAGATGCCCGTCATGGTTGTTACATAGCCATCCCTACTCCCATCGCCTTTGTGCCCAGCATGACCACCAGACAGCGATACGCCAGCATCCTCTTGTCTTCTTTTGCAGGCTCAGATGGATTGCAAGTGCTGCTCAACCAATGTGCTCTGGTTGTGGCCCGTGTCCGGCAGCCTGACATCTTGCACATTGTTGTTGGATGTGGACATGACGGCAAAACTTTGATTTTTGTCGATCACTTGCAAGCTGTCTTTGGCAGTGCCTTCAGTTGCGCTCCGTGCGGCATGCTGCAATCGGAGCGAGAATTCCAAGTCCAAGGTGCCAATTTCATACATGCAGCCTTCCTCACCTTTGATGAATGCAAAAGAGATTCAGGAATCATGGAGGATATCGTCAAAGTGTTCGTCGGAGGTGGCTGGCTACCTCTCCGCAGAAACCACGAAGCAGAGACTAGATACGGGCATCCTGGGGGGCCGTTTGATCGCGAAAAAGGAGGCCAAAGGCCGTTTGGCCAAATGGCTTCGAAAAAACGGTTTGGCCTTGGAATCCAGATATGGCCGTGAAAACAAGATTTGGCCGAGAAAAAGTGCGCATTTGGCCGTGGAAAAACGTTGAGTGGCCGTGGAAAACCGTGAAATTGTAGACGGCAATGCGAATGGCCGTGAAAACAGCGTATGGCCGTGAAAATATTTTTTCGTGGACGAGAGCGGTATGTGCGCGTTTTGTGTGATCAAATGGCTCCCCAGGATTGGGCATGCACTGGCAAAGTCTGGGCAATGAATTCCGGTGACATCCCTCGTGTTCCAACGGCGGAAGAGGTTTCCCATCAAAGGCGGTTCCGCTGCACCTACATGCGGTCCACATTCACAGCCTTGGAGGAGGAAGTTGACATCCCCAACAAAGTCTTCCATGCCGACCCAGGGGCCAAGTCCTTTATGTCTTCTGGCGAAGCAGTGTGGTGCTTCTTCCAAGATTTCCTTTTCCCTCATCTTCGGGCAAACGGTGTGCAAACATGCAGTGACAACCTGGAGTACATGAGGAAAGGCACGAGCATGCACAAAGATACCCACTGGTTGCTGAGGAAGATGAACCGCACCACTGACTGCATCCATCCAGACACAGCCCAAGGCCTTGAAGCCCAGAATGAAAGACCTGGTGAAGCTCCTGCGGCGACTTTGCCTGAGCGCATTGTCCGGGAGACTCACGCCTCCATCCACGCCCAATTCTTCTCCGCAGCGTCTGCCTTAGTATACATCCGCCAATTTGCTGTCCATTGGTAGAACAATGTAAATTCTCTTCCGACAGTCAAACTCCTGGAGTACAGTTCTTTTTTTAACATACCCCTCGCCGCCCGGCCCATCGAAGATTTTATTTGTTCGCTTTGCCTTAAACGCATGCTATGCCATACTATGCCTTTCCTTTTGCCGAGGCAGACATCAACCGGATTGTTGTGCCTTCCAATCCGGGCTCTGCTCCTCCAAGACGGCCTGGGAAGAAACTACGGGTGGAATATTTGAAGGATTCTTTGCAGCAGTTTCCTCACTTGATCCGCTTGGTCGACGGTCTCCAACGTGCAGGAGCCCCCTTGGACCGCTTTGAGCGCTGGTGCCTCGATGCTGGCAGTTGGCACCAGTGCCTCCAAACATGCCTAGAAAGCCAGAACATCCCGGAAGTGGTTGGAACGTGGAATGATTGGCTCTGGCCCAGCGCTGCGGAAGCTTCAGCCTACAACACCGATGAGACACCAGGGTTTCCCCGAGGAGACGCTTGGGAAGTTTCCTGCCGGATGGATGTTGCTGGCTTGAAAGAGTTTGCGGAGATGGTCCCTGGTGATAAAGGAGAACACGCACGCCTACTTGCAGAGCTTTGTGAAAGAGAAGGCACAATCGAGGGTGACGTGACCATCCTTTCCACATTGGGGCACCAGAAGAAAGTCGCTGGCGCATCCTTGGGGCGTGTTTTCTTCCCCTGGATCAGCTTTCCAAATTTGTCTCGTTCCGCCCGAGACTTTGGAAGCCCGCCTGGAACCAAGGAGTTTGATATGCCCAATGCAGTGGTTCACTTTGCATTGGTCTGGGCAAAGGAATATGGGCTCGACCTGCCTTGCTTCCAACGCTACCATGCAAACAAAGGGACATGGCGGAAGATCGTCATGCAGTGGTTTGCCCTTGCCGAGCAGGATGCAAAGAAGGCCCTGTTGCAGGCTTGCTTTGGTTTTGCTTTCCCATCGCGTGCGAGTGGCAAACCTGTGATTTGCCCATTGCTTGAAGGCTTAGCAGCAGATGCCATGAGGCTGAGGGCCACCATGTGCGAAAGGCACCCTAGCTTGCTAGCAGCCATGCGGGCAGCTGGCCGACCGAGACCAGAGACTTCCACCATGGCTTTCCTGCTCTTTGACAAGGAAAACCAGACCATGCAAGCATTCTGCAAATTACTGCCAAAGTATGGGTTTGCTTTGGTTGCACCTGTCTTTGATGCAGTGCTGGCCGTGCCACAGAGCAGAACAGAGGAAGATGGCACTGAGAGGGCGCCAAATCAAGATGCTTTGCTCGATGCAGGTCAAAAGATTTGGCCGCACCAGGCCACAGGCGACTGTGCCGAACATATTGCGCGAACTCTTGTCCAACAACATGGCCATCCGTATGGACCCGGTCCAGCGCCTACCTGGGCGCTTCTCATGCATTGGCACTGCTCTCCTGAACCTGTTTCCAGACGAAGCCAATGGTATCAAAGAAGCAACCTCCAATTTGAGCAGCCCGATCTCCTACCACCACACCATGGAGATTTGCCCCAATGTTCTCATTGAACCAACTTCGTTCGATCAAGCCACTCAAAGCGGTGACGGGACATGTTTCCTGGTCCATGCGTCAAACACTTGGGATGCTGACGTTGGTCATGCATATGGTGTGAAAATGGTGGAGGCTACCGCCCAGATCTACACCTCGACAGAGGAGGAGTACATCCAAACCAACATGCAATTGCTCTGGCAGAAGCTAGCAAAGACACCAGGCACGTACATCTTCAAAGTCTCCATTATCAGTCAGGATGGGGAACCACAGGCCAAGCGTCGCAAAAAAGATGCTGCGTCGACGACTTCAGTTGAACTTCTTTTGAAGGCCGGTGTGGTGGAGGCTGAAGAGACTTTGCGCCCGGTCATGCCACAAGTTCGAGAGCGCATGTCTAAGGAGGTTTCCCAGGAACTTGCCCGTCCCAAGCTTAGTTACCAAGGTCAACAGCGTCCATGATACTCCATGATGTGAAATTTCTTGTTGTATATGACAAACTTTTCCTCTTTGCTAGTCGCTGGCCTTTTCAGACGTTACCCCAAAAAGGCATCACGACAGCAGGAAGCGTCGAGGAAAGTATACGCCCGCCTGTGCAGGATACCAATATCAGCCACCGTAACCTCTAAGCATTTTTGATATCTTAAGTTTCTCAGTTCAGGTTTGCAGCGCGAAGCTGGTCGATCGAATCCAAAAGCAGCGTATGCTTGTACCATGTGCCCCTTCCGTACATTCAGCCGAAGATCATCCCTCCTCACACATGTCGAAAAATACCACACGGCAGAAAAGGATTTTGTCACCAACAAGCAACAGTTCTATGTCGCATGTGCCATCTTTGAGCAGAAGCAGGCAGGTTCGAACCGCATCTGTTGTAAATACACATGCGCACGTGGACATGCCATGCTTCGTTATCCGCCAGGCCTTACGACCTCTGATACCTGGCTGCCATGCAGAAGATAACCTACTTTCCTTGGCAGCAACCTGCATTCGATCTTGGGCAAAACTGGATGCAGACTCGCTCCGCTACCTCTCCACCCAAAATTTTGTGGACATGGCGTTGATTCTCACTGGCACTGGCCCACAATATGTTCTCAAGCAACAAACAGCACAAGCTCTGCGGATCAACAAGATGCTCTACATTAGCAATGATTTCGCAGATTTGGTGCTGGCCAAGGCAATCAAACACCGAGGCAAAGTCCACACGATGTTCAACGACATCACAAGTGATTGGGTCTCTCGAGGAAGCTCTTGCGCACTGCTTGGTTGCCGCAGAGGAGATACCCGCCAGGCAGTCTTTCAAGAAGTCATGGCCTTGAAGCCAGTGCGTGACTTGCATGCAGGCTTGGTTGAAGCTGCCACTGAGCGCCAAGAATGGCTTGTTTGCAGTCATGATGCAACATATCAAGTATTGTTCAGCGCCATTGGACAAGTGCCAATGCAACAGAAACAAGGTGAATTCCATGCCCTTTCACACGTTTCTTGGCCGGTCGGGCGCTGTGCCTGGCTTCAGCCTTCAGCGCACGGAGGGTCCTGCTCAGTTTCGGGCGGCCATTGCTGAAGTCCTGCCTCAAGCTGCTCGGGACACGGTCAAGTACATCTTCTCTGATAGCCCTACCTCTGTAGAAGGCGCGGCCGAAGTCTTGCCAAACTTGGAAGCTGTCGCAGAAGATGCTTTGCATTTGGTGCTGCGCGTGGAAGCTTGTACTGGAGAGAAGCGCACTGCCTTGTCCTCATGCTTGCTCAAGATCCAAACCCGCTTCCGCCTGCCATACGCAGCTCCGTTCTTTCGTGGCCATGCTGTGGAAGACCCTCCTGATGCCGGCAACTGGTCGGACAATCTGATGGACAAAGAAGCTACCGAAACAGATTGGGATAAAAAAGCAGCCAAACCATACTGCAACCACCAGGAGTATATCAATGACATCCAAGCCCTTTGCACTGCGTTTCCAGACAACATGGGCCACAAGGACAAGAAAGGGCGCACAATCCGCCAGATCTTGAAGGCCGGGGCTTCCTACACTCATTTTCGCTACTTGTGGAACGGATCGCACATCATCTCTGCACTCCACGACGTGCTGCCACCTGCGGAGCTCCAACTCCTGAGTTTTGGCACGTGCAGCAATGAAGCCTTGCACTTTCAATTGAAAGCTTGCCAAGAGCAAATCATCCAGCAGCACATCCAAACCTTCCCACCACAACTTGCAGCTTTCAGCTTGGCCAAGATGTTGGCCCACCATTCGGCCGCATACTTCCACACCTTGGCACAAAGAAAGGAGTCTGAGATTCTCAGTTTAATGCAAGGCTGCTTGAAAAAGGGTTTTCTGCCAGCTCTTGAGGAAGGGCAGGTACAACCCATTATCAGCAGGCAAGACTTGCGCAAGCCAGTGCGCAGGGTGGATCCTGGGAAGTTGGCCGCAAGAAAAGAAACGGCTGCACAAAAGGCCGTACAATGGAAGAAGGAGAACCGCAACCGACAGCTGAAGAACAAGGAGAAAGTTCAACATAAAGGCGCCTTCAAGCGCACCGTCTTTACTCAACAGAAGTGCCTTGGCAGGCTTACATGCACAGACCCGCAATCCACACTTATCCGTCCTGCACAATTTGCTGTCACTATAGCTTTGTCACTGGTGCCTTTCCGTTGCATGCATTACTGCCTCATCCGCAATATCGGCCAAGTCTTCTTTAAATTCAATCGTCTGTCGCGTGCTCTCCCGAATAAATTGCATGCCTGGCCAATGCGCAATGTGTTTCTTAAAACTTTTTTATTGTGCTCCCACCAGTACGCACATAGTTTAGCAACAAACCATCCAGCTGCAGATGGTCCCTACCTTGATGTCGTGGCCCTTCTACACATTCAAATACCCCAAAGATAAATTGCACCTGCACCGCTAGCAGCCCCAATAGCATAGCCATTTTCATTAAACCGTAAACTCAATCTGCCCCGCGAGCCTGCCTACTTGATCACGTTCTCCTACCACGCCAACAGTAACTTTCCCTGCGCCCCATGTTGAAATAAATCAAAAACATGCGTTTTAATTTTACGGTAACCAATGGTAACCAAAGTACATCAAAGTATGCAGCAACAAAAGGCCACGGGCCCCTACCGCATATACCTCGGACAACGGAACTATAGCAAAAACTCGAGGCAGATGGAGGCATTCAAATCGTAGCGCGCATATGTTCGATGAGTGCAATTCAGACAACCTGAAAGGATCAGCCACTTTATCCTCCACGTGCGTGCCACTAAACAGCTTCTGATCCACTTGCCACTTCTGCCCCTGCGCTGCAGTAACAACATCAAGCCACAACAGGCCGGAGCTGGGCCGCTGTCCACCCTCGCCAGTGGCGGCGGCGCCCTTGAGAACTTTCCTTCCAGCGCCCGCCGTCCGGAGCTGGGGGTCAAGCCCTCGCCAGTGCCTGGGGTGGATAAATAAAGAGGAAAAGAAAGAGAGAGAGAGAGAGAGAGAGAGAAAAAAAAAGATACAGCAAGTGAGAAACAAACATCTTGCATGCCAGATCGCGATCGCGAGACCATTACGCCGAGATTCCGCATGTCCACTCCGTACCAGAACTTTGATGCGCAATGTCCAGCATGATTTTCGTGTTGTGATTGCAGACTTGATCCGAAGCTACAAAGCAAGCTGTGCTTGCATGGGTTTGATGTGCATTGTCAAGGCATATCTGCTCTTGTTGGCTGTCATTGGATATAGAAAGCTATATAAGATGCTGTGTCTTTGTTTGTTGTTGCTATACGTGGATCTGTTCATATTTAATTATTTAATTTAATCTTTTGTTCGAACGCCATTCCTTTTTCAACAAATCAACACGTGCGGTGCTGCGAGCCAGGCGGCCAAAACGCAGCGCTGCAGCTGAATCTTCGTCAGCTGCGGATGAACTGCGATGAGCTGCCAAGTGGAGTCAATTAATGTGGCATACCAACTTGAAAAAAAAACAATTGTGCTTTTGGATATTTGGGGCTCTTTTCAACTAATTTGCAGGCGTGCCCACTTGCCAATTCCAAGCGGCTTTAATTAGTTTCCCGTGTGCAAGGTTAAATTAGTGCGAAATTCAGATCGAGGCGGCAAAAAATGAATATGATGCTCAAACACGCTCACACCTGATACACAGCAGCCTTTGTACTTATTGCACATGCATGTACATGTGCATGAAGATTTGACGCTCCAAAATGTCTGTCCATGGAATTATGAATGCTTATACGTGTTTGGGGTCAGAAATTTGGGCGTGAATGCAAGCATCAGGGAAAGAAAGAAAGAGAAGGACACAAATAGAACACCAAAAAGTGAGAGGGAAAGAGGGGCAGTAGCATAAAGAATAAATCCAAGGCAATAGATATGTGTATATACTATATATATATATATTTACATGTATACATATTTACATATATCTATATATATATATATACTTGTACACATATATAAATATATAGTTACATACATAATGTATAGTCTAGGTATCGTATCTATAGTTCTAGATATACGGTTGCAATGCTTCCTTTCTGCGACCAAGTTAAAGTTACACACATGGGCAACGGAAGCCCGGTGAATAGTATGAACCAGGCGCCTCAAAGTGCAAAGCACCCATGCTCTGAAAGTGGTGCTTGGCGCCGGAGATAAATCCTACGCGGTATTGCCAATATAAAGGGAGTTGCAGGTTACAGCTACATGTATCGAGACAACCCAACTCATTCCACCCTGCTTACATGCACAAGAAGTTGTGCCGCAAAATCGACGCCAACCGTCAATGGCACAGGGGGGGACCCCCCCCACACCAATCAGTAATCTACATTACTCAGGACATCTCAGGACTTACTGTAGCTAAGAACCGTCTAGGCATCCCGAATGGCTGACATTTGAACTTGGAAGCGACCCACAGTGCACCCCGTCGACTGCACAAAGTTGCACCTCATCCCCAAACCTCTGGACGCCCCGCCGGCAGCTTCGGCATTCTCCTTGTACTAACACCGTGCTTAAGTCACATCAGGCGGGAAAAGTCACATCATCCCCATGGCACGGCGGCGATGCAGAAAGTCACATCAGGCAGTGGAAAGTCACATCAGGGAACAAGAATCACCACGGCACAGCCTGTTTCATCTATAATTGGAGATTTAGTTAAAGGTAGCCGAAGCATTGCGCACAGCGATGATTTTGAAGGGCACAAGTTAATACAAACAAATTCTCGGCAGCTAATCCTATTGGATTTGAAAATATTATATTAATGTCCTGCGTCGCGTGACCAAATCAAACCCCTATTGGTCCAGCCCCAAATTTCTTGCAATGCAAATGGGTTAGCTGTAGCAAATCCTATTGGCAGATCTAGGATAATATGAGGATATGGAGGCCCCTTGTTTTCCGCAAACAAATCTATGGCTGGCGCGATGTGCATCAAGGTCGTGGACAGCTCTCAAAAAGTTTGTTGTCCTATCCACCCAGAGATTACGAGTTGGAAAACAACCTTGCATACCATTGCGGGCGGAAAGAAAGCAAGCGAGCAAGCGAGCAAGCAGCAAGCAAGCAAGCAAGCAAGCAAGCAAGCAAGCAAGCAAGCAAGCAAGCAAGCAAGCAAGCAAAGCCAAAGCAAAGCCAAAGCAAAGCCAAAGCAAAGCCAAAGCAAAGCCAAAGCAAAGCCAAAGCAAAGCCAAAGCAAAGCCAAAGCAAAGCCAAAGCAAAGCCAAAGCCAAAGCAAAGCCAAAGCAAAGCCAAAGCAAAGCCAAAGCAAAGCCAAAGCCAAAGCCAAAGCAAAGCCAAAGCAAAGCCAAAGCAAAGCCAAAGCAAAGCCAAAGCAAAGCCAAAGCAAAGCCAAAGCAAAGCCAAAGCAAAGCCAAAGCAAAGCCAAAGCAAAGCCAAAGCAAAGCCAAGCAAAGCAAGCAAAGCAAGCAAAGCAAGCAAAGCAAGCAAAGCAAGCAAAGCAAGCAAAGCAAGCAAAGCAAGCAAAGCAAGCAAGCAAGCAAGCAAGCAAGCAAGCAAAGCAGCAAGGCAGCAGCAAGCAAGCAGCAAGGCAAGAAGCAGCAGGCAAGAAGCAGCAGGCAAGAAGCAGCAGCAAGCAGCAGCAAGCAGCAGCAAGCAGCAGCAAGCAGCAGCAAGCAGCAGCAAGCAGCAGGCAAGCAGCAGGCAAGCAGCAACCAGCGTTTGCCCCCCTGGAAAGAATGATCAAATATAAGTTTTAAAATGAACGCAATACAAGAATTAAACTTTTTCCAGGCGCACAGCCCCAAAACAATGAAATCGCTCAATTACTAAAGGTTGTTGTGGTGATGCCAAACTTGAACTTTTTCCAGGCGCACGGCCTCCCGATACGACTTTTACAAGCTGATACGACTTAACCCTAGCATTTGTAGCCAGACTGTCATGATTTGATCACAATTTGGTATCAAAATAGTCAACAAGAATGGCATTGTAGATATGATGTGATTACATTGCATGCCACAAGTCATACACATGTATACAAATTTTACAAATGTATGTCAAGAATGAAATGAAACATCTTTTGTCAGTGCTGGATATCCAGGTCAAGGTGCGGTGCAAAAATTCTGTTGTCACGCCTCCTTTGTCTCAAACAGGTGCAATCAAATTATGCTGGCGATCTTGTAAGCATGTGGTACCCATGATTTTTACTCCAATCATTGAATCTCTGCATCGGCCAAAGTTTGACACCCTGTGAAGCGCCAAAGTAGCCCTTCAGCCCCTTCTCCCCTAGTCCGCTTGCCCAGCCTTCTCTTCTTTCTCTGCGTCTTCTCAGCTTGGGCAGTGAGATTGGGAGGATCGTAGGCCTCCACAAATCGACGTAAAAACATGAAACATGATAAAACATGCTCAGGCGGTTGTGAGTCAATCTTTGTCACTTGTCTTTTCAACTCTGGATTGTGGCCATGGATGGTTACCTGCTCAGCTTAGTGAAGCCGGGTGTGCCATCTACTTTGGCAACAGGGATTCATTGGGTATCCCAGTCATTTTTTTGGGGATCTGTACTAAAGCTCACTTCGCGAGAGAATCATGTTTTTCATCTCAGCAGCAAATGTTCCCAACTCTTTGTTCCCACCCTGACCCACCTAGATATAGTACTATAGTAAAAGAAATAAACTCAGGTGCTACGCCCAACAGTTTGAGAACTTCTGCTTTGTATATAATCATACAGTATACACATACAAACATGCAATGGTGGTAAAGGAACCAACGCCAGGAACCTCAACAGGTATCTGCACAGGAACCCTCCAGAAGCTGACCAAGTATCTGCACCGGAACCCTCCAGAACCGCAACAGGTATCCGGTATCTGCAGCGGAGCCCTCCGGAACCTAACAAGGTATCTGCATTGGAACCCTCTGGAACTTTACCAGGCATCTCAACTAACATGAATTGATACAAACGCAATCATGTTGGATGACACGCTGTTACGAAGTGTATATGATCTTGTGTCCGTCATCATGACATCATGCCCACATTGTCATACAATCACAACACATACAATTATACAGATACAATCATACACATACAAGCATACACATACAACCATGCAATGATGTTGCACTCAGGTATGTGACGCATTCCCATGGCGTAATGCAAGCGCAAACACATAATGTGCTTGTGTTCACGTTGCAAACTTTTGTGTTCATAATTCGGTCCTGCTGTTGACAACATTGTTTATGAATCTGCGGCAAGCAACCAAAATGAACTCATACACACGCAATCATTGTGGATTACACGTTGTTACTAGCTGTATATGGACGTATATGGTCTTGTGATCGCCATGCAAACATCATACGCGCATTGTCACGCAGTCATACAAGTACAATCATACAAATACAATCATACAGATACAATCATGCACATACAACCATGCAATGGTGCTGCACGCTAAAAAGTGAATCAGGGCCCTGGAAAGCATTATTCACATACAATGTGCAATTGCCCACGGTGTCTACTTAGGTGTTGATGTGTTCATTCCTGCAGGCAACAGAATTACTTATGGATTTTCGGCAAGCAACCACCGTGAATTGATACAAACGCAACCATGTTAGATGACACGCTGTTACTAACTGTATATGGTCTTATGATCGCCATCATGACATCAGGCGCACATTGTCATACAAGCATACACATACGACCATACAATCATACACATACATGCGTACACATACAATCATGCAATGATGTTGCACACGGGTATATGAAACATTCCTATGAAAAGGTGTACCTATCCCTGGTCCCTGCACCTGCATCGGTGCAGTTCAGCGGATTGATTGTCGGATCTCTGGTCTCTGCGCCTCCCACCCGTGCGGTTTACCGGAGTGATGGTTGGCTCCTTGGACTCTGCCGCTGCCACCTGCAGTTTACCAAATCGTTTGTCAAATCGTTTGCCTCTGCGCTTGCGACCTGGCAGTTGACCAGGCCGATTTTCAAAATGTTGGTGTCTACGCCTGCCACCGTTGGAGTTCGTCAGATCCCTGGTCTCTGTGCCTGCCACCCGTGCAGTTTACGGGATCGCTTGTCAAAACTTTCTGCACCTGCCACCTGGCAGTTGACCAGATTGATTTTGAAAATGATAGTGTCTGTGCCTGCCACCCGTGGAGTTCAAGGGATTGATTGTCAGATCCCTGGACTCTGCGTCTGCCACCTGTGCAGTTTACCAGACTGATGGTTAGATCCATGGTCTCTGCGCCGCGCATGCCACCTGGCAGTTTACCAGGTTGATTTTCAAAATGTGGGTGTCCGCGCCTGCCACCGGTGGAGTTCAGCGGGTTGATTGTCGGATCCCTGGTCTGCCTGCCGCCCGTGCAATTTACAAGAGTGATGGTTGGATCAAGTTGCATCCTTGTTCTCTGCGCCTGCCACCCGTGCAATTGACCGAATTGATTTTCAAACTGTTGGTCTTTGCGTCCGCCCTCGGCGCAGTTTACGAAGCCACCGGTGCAGGTGCAGTGACTTGAAGCGGATTGATTGTCAGATTCCTGGTCTCTGCGCCTGTCACCCGTGCAGTTTACCAGGGTGATGGTTGGATCCTTGGTCTTTGCACCTGCCACCTATGCAGTACCAGATCGCGAGTCAGGTTTTGCGTTTATTGCCAGCTGAGTCCATGCCACCGTTGTCGTCGCGTTTCTTTAAGCCCACGCCGTCGTGACGGTTCGATATATCACTTCAGGCTTTGCGGACGTCGTTTTTGCTTTAGTGGTTTTCAGGCTGGTTCGTCTTAGGATTGTTCCCTTTTCCGTGCCATGTTGTCCTTTCTACTTTCGCTTTGGTTTGCGCTGTGCGTGCTTGAACCGTTCTTGATTATGCGTCAAATTCACGCTGTCACTTGTTGCTGTTTGCCGACACGTTTTGCGGATTAGTCTTTCTCGCCATTGTCCTTGCTTTTCTTCTCGCCCACAATGTCGTGATGTTTCAATATGACTGACGCTTCAGGTTTTTGCGGCCATGTTGTGTTGAGTGGTTCTCACGCCGGCTTGTCCATTCCCTTTGCCTTGCCATGTTGTTTGTCATACATATGTTTCGGCGCGCGCTGCGCTTGATCAAAGCAGGGTCTGCGATGGTCTGCGTCGAATTCAGCGTTGTCAGTTTTTTGTTTGCCAACGTCTTTTGCGGATCTAGTTTTTGCAATGATTGGCATTGGACATTAATCTCATACATGTGCTCCATGATAAGACTGTGTTTCTAAAGTAACGCATCCAAAGCGCATTGATCACACGTATTGTCTGCATTTACAATGATCACAATCCGTATTTGGATGTCAGTGTGTGAAATACAGAGAAACGGGACACTAAGCAAAACCACCATTTAGTCATGAAAAAAAGGTGCATTGCGTGCAATCGTTTGATTCGACGCCCATAGTATTACCCGTACATATTTTACTGAGTCGCTGTGGCTGTCGCCCATGTCTCTGCTGTTTTTAACCCACGATGTTGTACTGGTTCGAGATGACTCTTCAACTTTCGTCGGCCGTCTATTTGCCAATCGTCTGCAAGCCCGCGTGTGTTAAGATTGTTGTCTTTAGGTTGCTGTTTCGTTCCTCCCAAACTTTGTTTCGGTTTGCAGTGTGCTAGGTCTAACCATTTATGCATCGACTTCTTTTTTGCCACACCCTGCCGCCCCTTCTGCAAAGTAAAGCTACAAGTACATGAGTGAATCATATACTGCGTTTAAATGCTTCGCCCAAAAAAGAGAACATGTTTATGCCATTAAAAACATCGGAGCCCTCTGGAACTTCACAAAGCATCTGCGCCCGAACTTTCCGGAACCTTACCGAGTACCTGCACCGGAACCCTCCGGAACCTCACCGGCTATCTGCACCGGAACCCTCCGGAACCTCACCAGGTATCTGCATCGGAGCCCTCCAAAACCTGACAAGGTATCTCCACCAAAACCATCCGGAACCTCACCAGGTACCCACACCTGAACTTTCTGGAACCTTACCCGGAACCCTCCGGAACCTCACCAGGTATCTGCATCGGAGCCCTCCAAAACCTCACAAGGTATCTGCACCGGATGGCACCTACACAGGTACCTGCACCTGAACTTTCTGGAACCTTAAGTACCTGCACCGGAACCCTGCGCAACCTCACCGACTATCTGCATTCAAACCCTCTGAAACCTCACCACGTATCTGCACCGGAACCCTCCAAAACCTCACCAGGTATCTACCCCGGAACCCTCCGGAACCTCAACACGGTATCTGCACCGGAACCCTCCGGAACCTCACCGGCTATCTGCACCGAAACCCTCCGAAACCTCAACAGGTATCTGCACCGGAACCCTCCAGAACCTGAACCCTCCAAAACCTCACCAGGTATCTGCACCGGAACCCTCCGGAACCTCCGGAACCCTCCGGAACCCTGTTGGGGGAAAAAATGCTTTACTTCGTGTGATCCCCACCATGACATTCATCCCGGCGGGTTGTTTATCGAACCCGCGTTTTCAACGTTTGCAGTTTTCGTCATTGATTTCATACCACAAATCACAGTGGTTTTGCGTCTCTCTCAAAGTTCAATTTCCTTAAAAAGTACGCGCGTACTTTTCACTGGATATGTAAAAAAACCTCAGCGGAACTCTCTTTTTTCTGCGCTAAGTGTTCTTCACAATTTCTGCAGTGAGCTTGGAGAGGTTTTTGTGGGAACTGTTTTCCCATCTCCACTGCCAAGCGCGAACATGCGTCCAAATCTTGCCATTGAGCAAGACTAACGTAAACTAACGTAGCATCATATATGTGAGGAAGTGCAAGACGACATACAGTAGCGTTGCATCATGTATGTGAGGAAGTGCAAGACGACGTACACGAGCGTAGCATCATATATGTGAGGAAGTGCAAGACGACGTACAGCAGCGTAGCATCATGTATGTGAGGACGTGCAAGAAGACGTACAGCAGCCTAGCATCATGCATGTGAGGGAGTGCAAAAAGACATACAGCAGCGTAGCATCATGTATGTCAGGCAGTGCAAATGAACGTTATTACCCCACCCCACCCCACCCCGTTAACCCCATGAAAGACGTAGAAACATGCAAAACGCTGGTTCGGTTTTCAACCCGTAGGCACATTCATCGATTTGTTGCTGGCAAATCTTCTGGCATTCTATCTGACATATCTTCTGGCATTCGATCTGGCATATCTTCTGGCATTCTACCTGGCATATCTTCTGGCATATGTTCTGGCATATTATCTGGCATATCTTCTGGCATCTCTTCTGACATCCTATCTGGCATTCTATCTGGCAAATCTTCTGGCATTCTATCTGGCAAACATTCCGGCACTTTATCTGGCATACCTTCTGGCATTCTATCTGACATTCTATCTGGCATACCTTCTGGCATTCTATCTGGCATATTTTCTGGCATATGTTCTGGCATATCTTCTGCTGGCATTCTATCTGGCATATCTTCTGGCATTCTATCTGGCATATCTTCTGGCATTTTATCTGGCATAACTTCTGGCATTCTATCTGGCCGTTGAAGTCCAGCGGTGCTCACTGAGCTCGGAAGGTCCCAGGTTGAGGTCCAGCGGTGCTCACTGAGCTCGGCGGGTCCCAGGTTGAGGTCCAGCGGTGCTCACTGAGCTCGGAAGGTCCCAGGTTGAGGTCCAGCGGTGGTCACTCATCTCGGCAGGTCCCAGCTTGAGGTCCAGCGGTGCCCAGTGTGCTCAGTTCCTTGCAGTTGAGGTCCAGCAGTGCCCACTGCGTGCGGAAGTTGGCGAAGAGCTTGGCGAAGAGTTGGCAAGGCGGAAGTGGACATGGAAGTGGAGGCAGAGGTGGTGGAGGAGAAGGAGGAGAAGAAGAACAACTCTGATAAAATCTAACAGCCCTCACCTGGCAGGTGGGGAACAAACACACAGAGTTAAATGTTCCGCACAGAAACCTACTGCTCTGAAACCGCCTGGGGATCGATAGCTCCAGGGATTCGCCACAATTCAGCCTTAGCCCTGGGTGCTTCACGCTTCACGTTCATGCCTACCTCCTCTGCAGCCTGCAGGGATCGTCAACTGATTAAAACATCCACCCTGTGGATACGAGTACCCGGTGCCAGGTCCTGACAAATTACCAAGACTGCGAATTGCCTTTTGATGGTGTCACTTCTTGCACTGAGCTCGACAGATTGTAGCATGTGTAGCATGAAGAATAATGTCGATACATTTACACCTTTGTACTGTTAGCCCCTTCAATGTCATTCAGTGTCACCGTGCCAGCTGGCCTTGACCAACTTTGTCTGCTCTCTCATCTGCCAAAAGAGCTTGTCGCCCATCTCAAACATGCCAGCCTGGTTCCGACGCACATCCAGAGGAACGCACCAATAGAGCCCGCACCGGAACTGCCAAACTCACTCAGCAGCATTGGCCGCCCATTTCGGTAGCTCAAGCACAAACACAGTGTGTAAGTGGAACAAGGAGGGTTCAAGATCGAGGACAGAGACAAAGACAAAGATGACAAAGTCCATCTGATTAACAAAGTGGACGCAAAACAAAGCAATTGTTAGGAAAACAAAAAGAAAACGCTCACGGAAAACACTCACGTCACTCACGCTACATCTGGTGCTAAGCTTGCTAAGCTGCTGCAAGACACAGACCTGAGGCACCTGCATTCTCACAAGCTCGGATGGCAGGCATAAAGTTCTCCTGAATGACCAGAAGCACATCCAGTTGGCATGAGTCGGAGCATCTGCAATCTGCAAGGTGTGCTAAACCACTGCACTCAGCTTTTGAACAATAATCTCTTAGTTTGCGCGGCTGGTGAGTCAATGCCAATTGCATCACGTAGCAGCAAACGTACTTGAATGTCTGGTGCTTGCCAATAAAAGATGTGTAGATGTTGTCGTGGAAGATACAAGTCCCCACACAAAAAAAAAAATCAAAACAACCACAGTGATCAAAAGTTGTCATCTTGGTCAAAACCTGGTATATAGACTACAGTATATGGTCATCCATCCCACATTGGGAATCCTTACGGTGGGTATATAAATCCCTATTAGTGGATTGATGACCATCCAATCTAACTCTTGACTCTTGACCATAGCAGACCATAGCACATATTTTCTCAAGATGGTGGGTGTCTGCTCAAGATATTCATTGGCCCGTCAGTCAACATGGCAGGATCTCTCAAAAAAAATATCATGTTGAGTACTGTTGAGTATTGTTGAGTATTGTGGAGTATTGTGGAGTATCATGTGAATGTCACTGCAGCACCTCGAGGATCATTCGGAAAGCACGAATGCACGATACAAGAACAATCTACAACAACTCCAACTTACCTGCCCTCTTCAAACTAGCCCGGCATAAGAAGCGCAATTTTCGTCTTCATTAATATCCGTGTATATTCTTTCAATTTTCTAGACATGTTTATGTGTGTGGCTGATGAATCTATATATTGCATTCTATTGTAGCATCAGCAGCACTACACGTGACCTCACCCGGATGCAGACAGAGACGGACTCTCCTCGTTGGGAATGATGCTGTAATCCCAGAGCATGTCTAAGAGGTTGACCGCCTGGCGCCACTGGCCAGGTTTACTCAGGACATCTGAGGACACCATCGGATACCATCGGAAAACAGGTGTTGTAATATGCCGTAATGTAGCGTAGTATCTGTCAAATTCTATAGATATGTAATGATATGTAATGATATGTAATGATATGTAATGATATGTAATGATATGTAATGATATATGTAATGATATATGTAATGATATCTATAGAAAGTTGCAGTTGCCATGTTTGGAAATTTTGGTCGGGTCAGAAGATCCGGAAGCACAAGTATCACAAGTATTCACAAGTATTCTACAACTTCCAACCAGCTGTTTTGCATCTGATGGCCTTCTGCCACTTCGCGCCCTGCTCGCAGGCCATGAGGGCATGCTCCGCACCAATTCTCAAAGGTGCCTGCAGCCCAGTTATCATGAGTTACCATGAGTTGCCATGAGTTGCCATGAATTGCCAAATGAAATCTTGACGGATTTTATCCAAGATGATCCAAGGTCCAAACCGCATGTCACATATGTAACGGATTCTTGTATTCAACAAATGATGTTATTCCATGTTATTCCAATATATTCCATTACTATCTGCAGTATGCTTTATCAAGACGCGTCGAAATTTTCGAGGTATCGTCAAATCCCTGCGAATGAAAAGTCAGAAAGACATGGAAAGCCTTCGAGGGCCACTATACAATTGCCATAAAGACTAGCGGAAAACGCCCTTAGATTCCACACCAAGGGCCGCACCATACCTATTGACATCATCTCGTCCAAAGTTTCCACTGCCTGAAGTATCCAAGTAAGCAATTCAGAGGAATGTCAGTATGCTGTGAGATCTGTTCGTGTCGTCCAAGAAGTGCTAGCAGAAACTATACAAGGCACACAAATGTCTTTGCGACAATCACGCACCATCACAACCGCACACGCTGTAACTGCACCATGAGAGACCGTGTGAGAAAGCACTTGCAAAAATGATTGAGAAATGTGGCGCAGCCTGTGCATGCTTCCGTTCAATAGCTCAGGAGTTTCCGCGTCTCTGACTTGGCAACCCTGGCGTCGCGCCTTCTGCCACCATCCACGCGAGTTGTAGGCCACAATGGCAGCAGTGTATGTAGCAGGCGTCCTCTGCAAAATAAAAAAGGGAGCGTGCTAGGTGTTTCATTGCTTCCTCTTAACTTGCGCCACCTTTAGCAATGAACATGGTGGGGAGATTGCCGTTGGAAAATATTGCACCGGCGTTTCGACTGGCAATATATATATATATATATAAACAAAGACTCGTTGGTTCAGGACCCCTTTTCCGACATGGCAAGACCAATTTAGTCAAAAAGAGAGTGGAGATTCCATGTCCAAAGTTCAAACATTCCAAAAAAACTCAACCACCACAATTCCCCCAAAGGAGGATTGGGCATCCGCCCAGAAATCCCCCCATATTTCCTCGCCAGACCGAGGGAAATATGAGCCAAGGATTGCAAGGTGTCCACCTACCTTTGTTTTTTACCATTTTTTCGGCCTTTGCTCTTGCTCTTTAAAACCGGAGTTTTTACTCCCCTGGGATGGGAGGTTGTGGGAGCTGAGCCGAAACTTAACGGAAAAAGGTGGTTATTCACCAACTCTTCTTTACTTCCGGGGTCGTTCATTCAAGACTCGTTGGTTCAGGACCCCTTTTCCGACACGGCAAGACCAATTTAGCCAAAAAGAAAGCGTAGATTCCATCTCCGAAGTTCAAACATTCCAAAAAACTCAACCACCACAATTCCCCAAAGGAGGATTGGGCATCCGCCCAGAAATCCCCCCATATTTCCTCGCCAGACCGAGGGAAATATGAGCCAAGGATTGCAAGGTAGAACTGGGTCCCGCCAGACCTGGGAAGTTTCCAGTCCACCTACCTTTGTTTTTTACCCTTTGTTCGGCCTTTTTTCCTCTTGCTCTTTAAACCGGAGTTTTTACTCCCACTTCCCCCTGCCCTGCCACTTGTGGCAAGCTCAAGTTTTGGCAAGGGAGAAGAAATTGTTCGGAGAAATTGTTTGTGAAACACGCGTGCGTGAGCTGTCAACCGCAGTTCCGTCTCTGCTAGGGTGGCCAGGCCACTATTGATATATAATCGAGCGGTCTTTGCAAACTGCCAACGGCCTTGAATAAGTAACCGGTCTAACTGTCATGGTGTTGGAAGTAAAATGTAGCACCACCCCGTCTCAAACTGTATGGCCGATACTGATACTCAGTCAGCCCCAGCGACGAGATAGTGTCATTAAACATTTTTCGCCATTGGTGAGGTTGAGGGCAGAGAGAGGTTCCCGGGCTAGTAGCCCTTTTCCATTGCCACAATCTACGGAGGGTATCAGCTTCGGTGGTGACACTTTCAGCGGCACCAGCACGTTTTCCTCCTGTCACCCCCAGAGAAATAACAGCAACCGAGGTTAGTCCCTCTTGAGAGACATCTTTATTTCTCAACCCCAGCACTTCACCCGTCCGCAACAATCCGCCAAGCATGAGGGACAGGCAAAAAACGGGAAAACCACTAAACAAGGCATGTCCAGCCAGTGTTTGCAAAGCCTGTTCCGTGAGAGGGGGTGCTCTGGAAGGTATCTCATTCGAAACCCAAGTCTTGAGCAACCTCCAACTATACACCAAATGACCCTTTAAATGGGGGTCTCGGTCCTGCAACCCTGCTAACGTATCCGAGGCTAAACTGCGTCCCTCTCCCTGTGCCCACAGGTTCTCGAGATAATCGGACAAAATCGGATCTAGTTGCTGGCGCTGCCTTGGCAGAATGATGTCTTGTTCGCGGAGATAAATGTGAAAACGTTTTGTTTTTTCACTTTCCTACCCATTTCCGACGTACATGGCCCCGGGATGGGGCATCAGCAGGGTTCAAAGCTGTGTGCACGTAGGCCCACACGGCTGTATTTTGGGATTGTCAGCGTATGCAGACAGACTAGAGAGTCTGTCAAGTGCACCAGCCTCTGCTTATGAGCATCCTGCTTTAAGATGCGCCAACGTAAGGCACACAACACCGCGCGCATCCCCAGGTTGTTGATATGTTCCTTACTTCCCTTCCACTTCCAGCCGCATACAGTCCTCCAGACCCATAGATTGGAAGGCAAGCTTGCCCGGAGTCTGTGGTATCGAAGGGTATCTTCACTCGAAGCGGAAATCAGGATGTCTTCACCTTTGATACTTACCAAATTGAGCAATTTTTTTGACCAAAGCCATCTCCTTTCCACCTACCAAATGCTTGCGAGGGCCTGCCATCGGGGGCCGGGTCAGGAATGTGGCCAGATCCACTATGCTTCCCGGAGCTGTGCGATCCACACACTGTTGCACTGACAGAGGTAGGATCAGCCCCAAGGGATGACAACTGTCCTAACAGCCAGGTCACCACAGTCGCATTCCAGCTGTTGCCCAGTAGGCTCAGTCTGGTATCCTGATGCTGCACACTGCCTTGCAGGTTCTTGGGCAAACAGTGAAGCGTATATTGCTGACCAAGTGCTGAGCATTTCCCCGCTGAAGTTGAAAACAGGTCTGGTCACTGGCCCGAGTCCAGCCAGGAGTCAGATAAACCGAAGGATTAACCTTTCCTTGCAGGTCAACCGTTCCATAACATTCCCATCCTGGCTGTTCTGGTGTATGGACCTGTGCTCCCTCTCCGGATTGCAACTGCCACGTGATCCAATACAATCGAGGCCTTCTGGCCAGACTGACCCCCAGTACGTCGATGGGGCATGGTTGTTCCCCAAAATCCTGGCTCATGAGAGCCCTATCTGAGCTATCTATTGATTGCACAGACTCCATAAGGCAGTGCACCTGAGCCCAGGGAAAGGCTTCCGCAACCAACTGGCGTACCCGCCTTACATGAACATAGAGGTTACTTCGGTGATCCCTCAGTGCTCCTTTGCGGTCACAATTAAGCCCGCTGACACGGGGGCCCTGCTCCTAACACTACAAGGCCTACTGGGGTGAACAGGCAGGACCACCCCTTAACCATTTCAGCAGATACCTCCTCAATTGAGCTGACAAACACGGTTCAGCGTGACTCGAGAACTCGTGACTGCTGTGCCCTGCCACTGGGAGTCCTGCTGAATCGGCGGCTACCCTTAACGCCCCAATTCCATCAAACAGGCCAATTGTAAGGATCTATATCAATTCCTCCATCTCCGGGATGTCCCCCCCGGACCGCACATGAGGCGGCCATCTGGCCTAGGTTGCTCAGGCCTCGGCTCACCGTGACGCCTCCTCCTGTGGTAGAGGCATCACTGGCTGTCACTGTACTGCTGGGTGATGCTCTGAAGTCCATCCTTGCTAGAGGGAGGAGTGCCAGGAACCGCGCAATCTCCAGCTTCACAACCCGAGGGATTTCAAGACGAATCACCACCGGATGCTGAACTTTCGATGAAAGCCCAAATGCCAAATGCTGTTGAGCCCCCCCCATCAGGTTTCGTTTAAAAGTGGCTAGGTACACCAGGCCTCCAGCCACCACTTGCATTTCTTTCTGATTGCTTGATCCGGACATCACTGTAAGGAGAGCCAGTTGAGCATATTTGAGGACCTTCTCAAGCTTTGGATAGGCGCATCCTGACACCCCGTCCACGATTGCCCCTTGCACTTCTGCTTTCACGGCCCTCTGGGTGGCCTTCTTGGGATGTCTCGAAATCCCCCATTGCTCATATTCTTGACGCAGTGCCAGGATGCCAGGAGTAGGCGTCCCTTGCAGTGTCTTCGCCAGGGCCTTATCTACTTTTTCCATGGCATCAAAATTGTCAAGGTACACTCTGTGGAGAACATCCCGGAAAGCCTGAGCTCTTGATGCCCCCGAAGATGCCCCTTGGCTTGGCCGGCCCCACGAGCAACCACAGTGCGGTGTACGTGCTGCGCCAAACTGACGCTGTTTTTGAAACCCATTGGTAGGACCTTGGCCACCAACACATGGCGGCCTTGCTGCCCTGGATGGAACCTGCTGGGTATTGTCTTGTTACCGAGAAAATTGCGCCACGCCTTTGGAACCCCAAAGATGTAGAAATTAAAGGACCGGATAACCCCACATGTCAACTTCTTCCAACAAGCAGCAAAAGAAAGGTAAAGATGGCATGGGGAAAGCAGGAAAAAGAAAAGAGATGGTGAAGGATTGGGGTGGAGTAAGTGGTGTGTGGAAGAGTAAGTTGTGTGTGGTGACAAGTTGTGTGTGTGAGGTGTGTGTGTGTGCGTGTGTGTGTGCGTGTGTGCGTGCAGAAGTTGTGACAGGGAAGGAAGGAAAAACAAAGGGGGTGGTGAAAAGGATCGAGAAGTAAAAACAGTTGTGGATAAAGTTGTATATACGTATGTATGTATGCAGGTATCATCAATCCACTATAAAATGAAAGGCTGAGTCCAAGTGATTAGGAAAAAGACCCCCTATAAAATAGAAAACTGGGTTTGCAATGCCTCAAGTTTGGTGTCACTTTTGGGTATGTAAACTGGATGGGCGCAATCCAGGTACCATTCATTCTATAGTAAACACTGGCCTACCAGCCTCATCTCTATAGAATCGTACCCCCAGGTGATCTATTTTATAGAGATTTTTCCAAGGAGGATCAGGTATCTATGTATCAGCCGCAATACCTGGCAAAGAACAACACAAAACAACGGGCTGTCATTCCTGTCAACTAAAGGCGAGATCATCACGAAGACTGTCAGTTTTAGAGTCACAGACTGATAACAGACACGTGAACACAGTCAACCGCAACAGGACGATCAAAGATCACTACGCACCAGAGTGCTGGATCTGCGCGATGAAGTCGGTACCTGGCAGGGCGAGATCATCACGAAGACTGTCAGTTTTAGAGTCACAGACTGATAACAGACACGTGAACACAGTCAACCGCAACAGGACGATCAAAGATCACTACGCACCAGAGTGCTGGATCTGCGCGATGAAGTCGGTACCTGGCAGGGCGAGATCATCACGAAGACTGTCAGTTTTAGAGTCGCAGACTGATAACAGACACGTGAACACAGTCAACCGCAACAGGACGATCAAAGATCACTACGCACCAGAGTGCTGGATCTGCGCGATGAAGTCGGTACCTGGCAGCAAACGCTTTCACCAGACATGCCGCTTGACAGCATCGTTCATGCGCGCGCACACGCAACGTCGAGAGTTTTTCTTCGGCAGTAAGAGTAAGCGCGATATCAAAATTGGAGCAGCGACGTGAGATTTTTGCACGGCGCGGCCATCTAGTCTAGGAAGAGGCTGAATACAAGAGTTAATTATATAGTTTTAACTCCAATGTTAATTCTTTAGGTTTTGCCCCTATTCAACCTGTGGCTCTAAAAGAATTAACTCTAGAGGTAATTCTGCTAGCATTGTTAGTAGAGCGGCAACAGAATTAACTCTTGAGCTGGTCCTTTTTCATTATTGCTCCTCCTGTTCTTCTTTTTGTATACCTGTTTCTTTCTGCCTTCCTTCCTTCTTTCCTTTACCTTTCCTTTCTTCCTTCTCTTTCCTTCCTTCCTTCCTTCCTTTCTTCCTTCCTTCCTTCCTTCCTTATTTGTTTTCTTTCTTTGTCTGTGTCTTCTTGAGCTTGAGATATTTTGGCTGTTAATTCGACTAAAGAAGCATAAGAAGGCAGTTTCAAGACACAAAAAAAGATTAACTCCCGAGTTAACCATTGTTTTAGTTAGTCTCCTTGTCTTCTTCTCATTGTGCACCTCTTTGTTCTTGATTCTTTTCTTTTTCTTCTTTCTTTCTTTCCTGTTCCTTCCTTTTCCTTCCTTTTCCTTCCTGTTCCTTCCTTTTCCTTCCTTTTCCTTCCGTTTCCTTCCTTTCCTTCTTCTTCTTTCTTTTTCTGGCTTCTTGAGCTTGAGATACTTTGGCTGCTAGTTAAAGTAAAGAAGCATAAGATGGCCGGTTCAAGCCACAAAAACAGGATTAACTCTGGGGTTAATTCTTTCTTTCAATTCGTCTCTTTGTCTCCTTGTCTTTTCTTTTTGTTTACCTTTTTCTTTCTGCCTTCCTTCCTTCTTTACTTTCCTTTCCTTTCCCTGTCCTTTCTTCCTTCTCTTTCCTTCCTTTCTTCCTTTCTTCCTTCCTTCCTTCCTTGGTTGTTTTCTTCGTTCCTTGTCTGTGTCTTCTTGAGCTTGAGATATTTTGGCTGTTAATTCGACTAAAGAAGCATAAGAAGGCAGTTTCAAGACACAAAAAAAGATTAACTCCCGGGTTAACCCTTGTTTTAGTTAGTCTCCTTGTCTTCTTCTCATTGTGCACCTCTTTGTTCTTGTTTCTATTCTTTTCCTTCCTGTTCCTTCCTTTTCCTTCCTTTTCCTTCCTGTTCCTTCCTTTTCCTTCCTTTTCCTTCCGTTTCCTTCCTTTTCCTTCCTTTTCCTTCTTCTTTTCTTTTTTCTTGCTTCTTGAGCTTGAGATACTTTGGCTGCTAGCTAAAGCTAAAGTAAAGAAGCATAAGATGGCCTGTTCAAGCCACAAAAACAGGATTAACTCTGGAGTTATTTTTTTTTCAATTCGTCTCTTTGTCTCCTTGTCTTTTCTTTTTGTTTACCTTTTTCTTTCTGCCTTCCTTCCTTCTTTCCTTTCCCTGTCCTTTCTTCCTTCTCTTTCCTTCCTTCCTTCCTTCCTTTCTTCCTTCCTTCCTTCCTTCCTTGGTTGTTTTCTTCTTTCTTTGTCTGTGTCTTCTTGAGCTTGAGATATTTTGGCTGTTAATTCGCCTAAAGAAGCACAAGAAGGCAGTTTCAAGACACAAAAAAAGATCAACTCCCGGGTTAATCCTTGTTTTAGTTAGTCTCCTTGTCTTCTTCTCATTGTGCACCTCTTTGTTCTTGTTTCTATTCTTTTCCTTCTTGTTCCTTCCTTTTCCTTCCTTTTCCTTCCTGTTCCTTCCTTTTCCTTCCTTTTCCTTCCTTTTCCTTCCTTTTCCTTCTTCTTTTCTTTTTTCTTGCTTCTTGAGCTTGAGATACTTTGGCTGATAGTTAAAGTAAAGAAGCATAAGATGGCCTGTTCAAGCCACAAAAACAGGATTAACTCTGGAGTTATTTTTTTTTCAATTCGTCTCTTTGTCTCCTTGTCTTTTCTTTTTGTTTACCTTTTTCTTTCTGCCTTCCTTCCTTATTTCCTTTCCCTTGCCTTTCTTCCTTCTCTTTCCTTCCTTCCTTCCTTCCTTCCTTCCTTCCTTGGTTTTTTTTTCTTTCTTTGTCTGTGTCTTTTTGAGCTTGAGATATTTTGGCTGTTAATTCGACTAAAGAAGCATAAGAAGGCAGTTTCAAGACACAAAAAAAGATTAACTCCCGAGTTAATCCTTTTTTTGGTTTGTCTCCTTGTCTTCTTCTCATTGTGCACCTCTTTGTTCTTGTTTCTATTCTTTTCCTTCCTGTTCCTTCCTTTTCCTTCCTTTTGCTTCTTTTTCCTTTCTTTCTTTTCCATCTTCTTTTCCTTTTTCTTTTTCTGGCTTCTTGAGCTTGAGATACTTTGGCTGCTAGTTAAAGTAAAGGAGCATAAGATGCCCGGTTCAAGCCACCAAAAAAGGATTAACTCTGGAGTTTATTCTTTTTTCAATTCGTCTCTTAGTCTCCTTCTCTTTGTGCACGTCTTTGTGCTTGTTTCTATTTCCTTTTTTGTTCCTTTCTTTTTTCCTTCCTTCCTTTCTTCCTCCCTTTCTTTTTTCAAGGTAGGGCGGCACTGGCCCACCCTGGGACAGAAACGGGCCACGAAACAATGTCTTTGTGCACCTCTTTGTTCTATTTCCTTTCTTTTTTCCTTCCTTCCTTCCTTCCTTCCATCCTTCCTTCCTTCCTTCCTTCCTTCCCTCCTTCTTTCTTTTTCCTTTTTTTCTTTCAAACCTTCCTCTCTACTATTCAGCCTTTTCCTTGATGCTAGGACTGGAAGCCAGAGACACAGCAATGGGACCAAGCTCATTTGGCTCTTTTTCTTCATTTTCGTTCCGTGCTGTCATAGTGTTTGTCCATCACCAGTGAGAGAGTCAGCGGACCTTGCCACATCATGTCTGGAGGGCAAAAGACAATCAATCGTGTGATTCTCATCAGAGGAATCAGTGACGACAAAAATTTTACGTCTTAAAATATGGCTGCACGCCATGAAAGTCATGTCGTCTCCCCAGCTGTCTTGACGTTTCATGTAGTCGATATAGCCAACCCACTGACCTTTGAATTTGGCTTCCAGCCGGTCCACGAACATGTTTCCAAGAGGCTCTAGGTAGCTGACAGCGGCCAGCCTGAGCTCCAAGGGTGTCATGGGTAGTGCGGCAGCGTGGCAAATAGCTTCAAACTGGCACGCTCCTTCTCTAGGCATGGGTTTTCTTTGGAGGCCCATTTTATCCAAGCGTTTGTCAATTTTTTTGAAGCTCTTTTCTTCTTTTTTTTTACTGGCTTCGTTTTCTTCCAAGGACAAACTGAGAGCTAACTGCATCTGAGACCGCTCCCAAGCATCCATGGCTCCAGAAGCAGGCAGCTGATCGAAGAGTTGCAAGCGATACTTCTGCGACTGTGCTTCTTCGAAATGCTTTTTGCAAAAGCTACCACATGTTCTTGGATTCTTACAGCGCGAAGCACGCTGTGTACGAGCCATGCAAAGATTTTCATCACTTTCCGCCAAGCAATGCAGCAAGGGTTTCTGAGTGGAATCAGAAACGGCTCCGGGCAAATGCAAAGCCAACTCTTTCCGAAGGATCTGCGACTTTTCAGCGGTGTTTTTGGCAACGCCACGTTGTCCAGGAGCTTTGAGCATATTTTTCAAACGCTCTGACCGTTTCTGCTTGAATTGTTTCTTGACCTTCCTCTTCAGAGAAGAAGCAAGCTCTGGTCCAGCACGAATCTCAGCAATGCCATCTTTTTTCCAACAAGGACTTGACAAACAAGGCATGTTCTGTGTGGCCACTGTTTTGGATGTAGTCTTTGTGTAGGCCGACCACGGATTTGGTCGCAGTGACAAAAACGCCCACAAAGTGCTGTCTTAGCCACAAATGTCTCAGAACGCAATAGCCACCTGCACAGATTTTGCTGGATGAAAATCTCAAACAGATAAACCAAGAACATAAATCCAAACTGTTTGCCACATTTTAGTACAAAAGTAACGTAACGCGCTGAAGTCAATTAATTTGATTCAAGCCTGTCTCAGGGTCAGCACAGGCTGCTTCCACTTCACTTGCAGCGCGTGCCAAGCAGAGTCGCATAGCCGCAAAGGTGTCATCACGTTTCTCCGTCACGGCATTCAAATCGTACTTGCCAAACACATAGAGAGACTGTGCCACTGAAGCATCTTGGAGAACAAGATCACAGGGAGTTGCCATCCAAGTTCCACAAGGACCTTTCTTCCGGAAATGTTTCAAGAGGCTGTCAAGATCCAGACGCTGACGCTTGCATAACTTCTCCTCCTCATCGCCGATATCCATTTCATCGACTCTGTCATATTGCTTCGCAGACCGGCTGCGAAGAGCAGGCCAAGCCACCGGAACCTCTTGATGCATGTCATTGTAGAAGCCAGCGTTGAGTCTTGAAGCGAATGCGCTGCAAACTTCCACCAGAAGAGTCGCCGGCTCCATGCGCCGAGTCCTGTGAGGAAATGAAACCGGAAAAGAAAATTATATTCTTTGGACAACCAGCCCCACCTCGGTTGCACCAAGCCCTTCAAAGTTCTCCACGACCGCTCAATAATGTTTGGCGAATACGTTGTGAAGCCTGGAGGGACAATTCCCAGACCGCAGCGCCAACTGCTGGATATGCTGCCATCATCACCCTTGGAAAGCAAATTTTCCAGCAGGTAGTTGGCCATTGCCGCTTCATTCCAGCCGTCCACAGCCTCCAATCTTTCGAGCGCAGATGACCAGAAGGCATTGAACTCTGTTGAGCTTGGGAAAAAAGCGCTGCCTTGCATGAAATTGACGAGGGGGGCCAGAAGCTCCAAATTCTTCAGGCGAGGTTCCTGACTTGAAAATTGTCATACCATCTCTATCTTGTTGATTCTTTTTGTGCTTCTGACTCTTACATGACAAGGAATCTTTCCAACACCATGCATGTTATACCCCTTGAACTTTCACTTGCGATGTTCTTCCATCAAACAATACAAATCCCATGAAAAAAATCACTGCTGAGCTGGGCGTCGCCGCTGACAGGGTCTTTCCTCCGCCCTTCGGAGCGCAAATTTTCCTTGCTGTGCTGCAGACAACGGTGCCTCCGCACATGCCGCATTGTCTCATCACTGTCCAAGGCAGCGCTAGCACCATTGTAGCAATGACAATCAAAAAAGCCATGCGTCAAGCTGACACCCGCTTGCTTCGACATCTCCACAAACTTCTTGAGAAGCAGAGCATGGGACTCATGGTCTTCACTATGGGACAAAAGAAACACAATGGGACAGAAACGAAGGTGAGGCTGTACCATCCGGGCCCGCTTTCAATCCAAGCGGACCAATAGCCCCCAGTAAGAGGCCATTGACATTTGTCTTGCACGTAAAATCCATGCTAAAGCATGGGAGATTTTGAGTCGTCAGCCGCTCTTCTGCCAAGTCAAAGCTGAACATGATTCGAACCTGCTCGGTGGAAACCACCTGGTGATGCAGTACAACATGATCAGGAGGTCTGGAGAGGAATTCCTTCAAGGAGGCAACACAAGATGCTGCCAACTTCATCCCTGTGTCCTGTCTGGAAGGCCTTTAATTCTTCAGTTGCCACGTCGCCGGTCTCTCATCTACAGGCACTTTCTCCTTTTCCATCCGATGCAATGCCTTGCCCGGTGACTCCAGTTTGGCATACTTTTTGGCGTTTGCTCTTTGGACTTCCTGAAAATTGCCATGGGTGATGAGTAACCAGCAACGAACATAACTTGTAAGGGCCAAACTTCTTTCTCATACTGTAGTTTCCTATCGTTCCAAAATTATCCCAATTCTTGAAAAAACTCTCAAAACAACAGGTGTTCCATCGGATTGTCCACATGCAGCTCTCCTTAAATGATTCTCTATGTTCATCCGACAACCAAGTAACAAATCTCTTCAAACAAGATACACACTCGCAGAACTTCAACCATTTGATATATATTTTCGTGAAATTTCTCCGTATACACATATCACTCCAAAACCATATATATATATATATATATTGACGGACTGAAACTTAGAACCTCGTTTTGGAAATTTTCCATACCCCGAAAAAGTACCCGGAACTACCCGCTCAGATTTGAGTAAAATTGATAAAATATTATGATATTTTTACGTTTTGCGAAACTGATCACGGTAATCAGAACTTAGAACCACTACGAAAAATGGTGCTCGGAGAGCCAAAAATGACTACCCTCTCGCAGTTTTTTATCTGAAAAGTACCCGTCAAATTAGCTGAGTAATATGATGTGTTGTTTGATGGATTGAACGAAAGATTCTAGTCAAAAAATGGTGAAAATTGACTAGTTTTGGTTTTGACATGTTTTTGTCTCAAACTCCTGGAATCGAAAAAATGGTGAAAATGGACTAGTTTTGGTGTTAACATGTTTTTCTCAAACTCCTGGAATCCAAAAAATGGTGAAAATTGACTAGTTTTGGTGTTGACATGTTTTTCTCAAACTCCTGGAATCCAAAAAATGGTGAAAATGGACTAGTTTTGGTGTTGACATGTTTTTTTCTCAAACTTTTGGTGTTGACATGTTTTTCTCAAACTCGTGCAAGTCAAGAAATTGGGAAAATTGACTAGTTTTGGTGTTGACGGACTGAAACTTAGAACAATGGGGAAAATTGCCTAGTTTTGGTGTTGACATGTTTTTCTCAAACTTCTGGAATCCAAAATATGTGGAAAATTGACTCGTTTTGGTGTTGACATGTTTTTCTCTCAAACTCCTGGAATCCAAAAAATGGTGAAAATTAACTAGTTTTGGTGTTGACATGTTTTTTTCTCAAACTCCTGGAATCAAAAAAATGGCGAAAATTGACTAGTTTTGGTGTTGACATGTTTTTTCTCAAACTCCTGGAGTCCAAAAATGGTGAAAATTGACTAGTTTTGGTGTTGACATGTTTTTTCTCAAACTCCTGGAATCGAAAAAATTGTGAAAATTGACTAGTTTTGGTGTTGACATGTTCTTCTCAAACTCGTGCAAGTCAAAAAATGGGGAACATTGACTAGTTTTGGTGTTGACATGTTTTTCTCAAACTCGTGCAAGTCAAACAATGGTGAAAATGGACTAGTTTTGGTGTTGACACGTTTTTTCTCAAACTTTTGGTGTTGACATGTTTTTCTCAAACTTGTGCAAGTCAAAAAATGGGGAAAATTGACTAGTTTTGGTGTTGACATGTTTTTTTTCTCAATGTTTTTCTCAAACTCGTGCAAGTCAAAAAAATTGGAAAATTGACTAGTTTTGGTGTTGACGGACTGAAACTTAGAACCATGGGGAACATTGCCTAGTTTTGGTGTTGACATGTTTTTCTCAAACTTCTGGAATCCAAAATATGTGGAAAATTGACTAGCTTTGGTGTTGACACGTTTCTTTCTCAACTCCTGGAATCAAAAAAAAATGGTGAAAATTAACTAGTTTTGGTGTTGACATGTTTTTCTCAAACTCCTGGAATCCAAAAAATGGTGAAAATTGACTAGTTTTGGTGTTGACATGTTTTTTCTCAAACTCCTGGAATCAAAAAAATGGTGAAAATTAGTGTTGGTGTTGACATGTTTTTTCTCAAACTCCTGGAATCGAAAAAATGGTGAAAATTGACTAGTTTTGGTGTTGACATGTTTTTTCTCAAACTCCTGGAATCCAAAAGATGGTGAAAATTGACTAGTTTTGGTGTTGACATGTTTTTCTCAAACTCATGCAAGTCAAAAAAATGTTAAAATGGACTAGTTTTGGTGTTGACATGTTTTTTCTCAAACTTTTGGTGTTGACATGTTTTTCTCAAACTTGTGCAAGTCAAAAAATGGGGAAAATTTACTAATTTTGGTGTTGACATGTTTTTCTCAACTCGTGCAAGTCAAAAAATGGGAAAATTGACTAGTTTTGGTGTTGACGGACTGAAACTTAGAACAATGGGGAAAATTGCCTAGTTTTGGTGTTGACATGTTTTTCCCAAACTTCTGGAATCCAAAATATGTGGAAAATTGACTAGCTTTGGTGTTGACACGTTTCTTTCTCAACTCCTGGAATCAAAAAAAAACGGTGAAAATTAACTAGTTTTGGTGTTGACATGTTTTTCTCAAACTCCTGGAATCCAAAAAATGGTGAAAATTGACTAGTTTTGGTGTTGACATGTTTTTTCTCAAACTCCTGGAATCAAAAAAATGGTGAAAATTGACTAGTTTTGGTGTTGACATGTTTTTCTCAAACTCGTGCAAGTCAAAAAATGGTGAAAATGGACTAGTTTTGGTGTTGACATGTTTTTTCTCAAACTTTTGGTGTTGACATGTTTTTCTCAAACTTGTGCAAGTCAAAAAATGGGAACAATTTACTAGTTTTCGTGTTGACATGTTTTTTTCTCAAACTTTTGGTGTTGGCATGTTTTGCTCAAACTCGTGCAAGTCAAAAAATGGGAAAATTGACTAGTTTTGGTGTTGACGGACTGAAACTTAGAACCATGGGGAAAATTGACTAGTTTTGGTGTTGACATGTTTTTTTTCTCAAACTCCTGGAATCAAAAAAAATGTGAAAATTAACTAGTTTTGGTGTTGACATGTTTTTTCTCAAACTCCTGGAATCCAAAAAATGGTGAAAATTGACTAGTTTTGGTGTTGACATGTTCTTCTCAAACTCGTGCAAGTCAAAAAATGGGGAACATTGACTAGTTTTGGTGTTGACATGTTTTTCTCAAACTCGTGCAAATCAAAAAATGGTGAAAATGGACTAGTTTTGGTGTTGACATGTTTTTTCTCAAACTTTTGGTGTTGACATGTTTTTCTCAAACTTGTGCAGGTCAAAAAATGGGGAAAATTTACTAGTTTTGGTGTTGACATGTTTTTTTCTCAAACTTTTGGTGTTGACATGTTTTTCTCAATCTCGTGCAAGTCAAAAAATGGTAAAAATTGACTAGTTTTGGTGTTGACGGACTGAAACTTAGAACCATGGGGAAAATTGCCTAGTTTTGGTGTTGGCATGTTTTTCTCAAACTCCTGGAATCCAAAAAATGGTGAAAATGGACTAGTTTTGGTGTTGACATGTTTTTTTCTCAACTCCTGGAATCCAAAAAAATGGTGAAAATTGACTAGTTTTGGTGTTGACATGTTTTTCTCAAACTCCTGGAATCCAAAAAATGGGGAAAATTGACTAGTTTTGGTGTTGACGGACTGAACTTAGAACCATGGGGAAAATTGACTAGTTTTGGTGTTGACATGTTTTTTCTCAAACTCCTGGAATTCAAAAAATGGTGAAAATTGACTAGTTTTGGTGTTGGCATGTTTTTCTCAAACTCGTGCAAGTCAAAAAATTGTGAAAATTGACTAGTTTTGGTGTTGACATGTTTTTTCTCAAACTCCTGGAATCCAAAAAATGGTGAAAATTGACAAGTTTTGGTGTTGACATGTTTTTCTCAAACTCGTGCAAGCCAAAAAATGGTGAAAATGGACCAGTTTTGGTGTTGACATGTTTTTTCTCAAACTTTTGGTGTTGGCATGTTTTTCTCAAACTCGTGCAAGTCAAAAAATTGGGAAAATTGACTAGTTTTGGTGTTGACGGACTGAAACTTAGAACCATGGGGAAAATTGCCTAGTTTTGGTGTTGACATGTTTTTCTCAAACTTCTGGAATCCAAATTATGTGGAAAATTGACTAGCTTTGGTGTTGACATGTTTCTTTCTCAACTCCTGGAATCAAAAAAAAATGGTGAAAATTGACTAGTTTTGGTGTTGACATGTTTTTCTCAAACTCCTGGAATCCAAAATATGTGGAAAATTGACTAGTTTTGGTGTTGACATGTTTTTTTCTCAACTCCTGGAATCCACAAAATGGTGAAAATTAACTAGTTTTGGTGTTGACATGTTTTTCTCAAACTCCTGGAATCCAAAAATGGTGAAAATTGACTAGTTTTGGTGTTGACATGTTTTTCTCAAACTCCTGGAATCAAAAAAATGGCGAAAATTGACTAGTTTTGGTGTTGACATGTTTTTCTCAAACTCGTGCAAGTCAAAAAATGGTGAAAATGGACTAGTTTTGTTGTTGACATGTTTTTTCTCAAACTTTTGGTGTTGACATGTTTTTCTCAAACTTGTGCAAGTCAAAAAATGGGGAAAATTGACTAGTTTTGGTGTTGACATGTTTTTTTCTCAAACTTTTGGTGTTGACATGTTTTTCTCAAACTCGTGCAAGTCAAAAAATTGGGAAAATTGACTAGTTTTGGTGTTGACGGACTGAAACTTAGAACCATGGGGAAAATTGCCTAGTTTTGGTGTTGACATGTTTTTCTCAAACTTCTGGAAT